AAAGTTGGTCGGAAATTACCGACCAACGTTGGTCGGTAAATTAAATTCAAAAAAAATTATTGCAAAAAAAAAACCACCAAAGTTGGTTGGTATTTTAATTATGTAATCAAAAGATTCACCGTCTGGGAATTGAATCGGGGTGTGTACCGTGGCAGGATACCATTCTACCACTAGACCATTGGTGCATTTTGTTTTAAGATTGTCTTTTTTTTAATTTACTCTTTAATTGTATTTTCGCACGAAAATAACCGACCAAAGTTGGTCGGTTTTATTAAAAAATAAAATTACCGACCAAAGTTGGTCGGTTTTTTAAAATGACCGGCCGAATTTACCGACCAAAGGTTAGTTTCTTGAAAAATAAATTTCACAGGACTCAAAAATAGTTTCCCGTATTTTTGCGCCAAAGAAAACCGACCAAAGTTGGTCGGTTTCGTAAAAAAAATTAAAAATTAAAAGATTTTGAAAAACCGATCAACTTTGGTCAGTTTTTGGCAGGTTTTTTTACCGACCAAAGTTGGTCGATTTTTCTTGGTCTGTTTTTGCCGAATTTCTAGTAGCGTCATGATAAGAACCTAAAGCGTCAAATATAAATCTTGAATCAACCTCTTCATAATAGTACACACATCTTATCAAAATCTTGAATAAGCTTCTGATTGTGTGTTGTTCATGTGTAACGAAGAAAATGCTATCAGTAAGTACCGCATAAAATAACCACAATGTGTTTGTGTTTCCACGTGTAATAAAGATGGAAGTTTCTTATGCACCAAATTTGGAAAGCGTATGACTACGACATACAACAGTCTTGCGAGCTAGAGTGATAAACTAGGACCTTTTTTTTTTGTAATAAACGATTTATTCATACAACAACAACTAAGAGTTATTACAATTAGAGCTCAGTCTAGGTAACATAGTGCCTAGACCGTCTCTTTTTAGTACATGAACAACAAAAACATGCGGAATAGTATAAGTTTGCAAAGTACAAAAAGTGCCCAAGCTGCAACCATTTTTAGCTAACAGGTCCGCTACTCCATTAGCCTCTCTAAAAACATGATTCAGCTGCGGATCATTCGCCTTCCGTAATAGGTACCTGCAGTCATCAATCAAATTTTGGTAGAGACAGTTATTAGATTTTAGGAGGTTTAATAGTTCCAAACAGTCCGTCTCTATTACTAATGGGAAGAGTTTTTCTGTTAGTACTAGTTTGACTCCATGGAGGAGGGCCAGGATTCCCATATATATGTTAGTAGCATGGTCGAACCCCATATTGAACCCTAGAATCCATCGACCCCTATCGTCTCTAAACACCCCTCCTATTCCTCCCACTCCTGGATTTCCCACACATGAGCCGTCAATATTTAGTTTATAAAAGCTGGGGTTGGGCGGTTCCCATTTTACAAGGATAGTTTTCTTGGGCGGTTTTAAGCAAAGATTTTTTGCCATGTAAAGGAATTCCATGGCTTTGCTAATGGGTTGACTTATGGTGATAGGGGTTTTAATTCCTCGAAAGAGGATCCCATTTCTGAAGTTCCAGATATGCCATAGGAGGAAAGGGAGAAGGTCTGACCAGCGTAGGTGATTGTTAAAAGATTTCCTGGACATGAGTTGATTTTTGAGACAATTATGCAGGGTTTCTTTTCCTAAGGGATCCTGAGAGAAAGGATGTTTTATATTGGTTTGCTCCCAGATTTGTCTAGAGTAGTTACATCGGAAGAAGATATGGTCTATGTCCTCAGTTTCCCTATTGCAAATGTTACAAGTGTCTTCGTGGCAAATCCCTCTTTTGGTTAGCATGTGCTTAGTGGGTAACCTGTCCCAAAAGATTATCCAAAGGAAATATTTTAATTTATTTTGGGAGTTGATTTTCCAGAGCCAGGCTAAGTTTTTTCCATTGCCTATAACTTCTGAGATAGCTTCATAGGCAGCTTTAACTGAGAAATAGTTGTGACCCTTAGAGTCCCAAGTGTATGAGTCAGAAGTGGGTCTGGTTTGTTTTATGTAGGTGTAGTTTATCTTAGATACTATGTAAGGGGGCAGTTCGAATGATAAGTTTCTAAGGTCGAATATTCCGTTTTTAATAGCCCAAGAGAGCTTTAGGTCAAGCTCTCCAACTGGGATGGGGCCCTGGATGTAGTCTCTCAGTGCTCCTAATTGATTTATCCATTTATCGTGCCACAGGCTAATGGTTGTACCATCTCCTACTAGCCACTTGGTATTGATGTTGCAAATTTCAGAACCCTTCCTAATTACTTTCCAAGTATGGAAACCTATATTCTTGCTTTTCCTATGGTTATATTTACTAAATATAGTTTTGGCCCATAGGTCTTCTTTCTCTTTTCTATATCTCCAAGCTAATGCTGCGTTGAAAGAGGAATTTTTCCAATGGGTGTTAGGAATACCTAGGCCCCCTTGTTTTTTAGGCATCGTGACTATGCTCCATTTAATAAGATGGCATTTCTTTTTTTCCTCCGTGCTACCCCATAGGAAGTTCCTTTGAATAGATTCTATCTTGTTGAGGGTTGTTTTGGGGAGATCATAAATCTGCATGACGTGGTTCGGGATTGTGGCTAAGGTGGCTTTTATGAGGGTTGTCCTACCTGCCATATTAAGGAACTTTATTTTCCAGCCCGTTAGTCTATTATTCAACCTGTCTAGGATAAATTGGAAGTCTTTTTTTGTAGGATTGGCTTTGGGCATAGGAAAGCCTAGGTACTTACCGAAGTTATTAGTATAACTCATTGAGAAGCAGCTGCTAATATGATCTTTTTGACCCGTAGGGGTATTCCTGGAGAACACAATTTTTGATTTTCCAAAATTGATAGATTGCCCAGAAGCATTGCAGAATTTGTTAATAGTGTCTATGATAGAGATATAGCTCTTTTGGTTGGCTTCAGCTAGGAGGATAAGATCGTCTGCAAAGAAAAGATGGGAAAGCTCTGGGATTTTGGAATTTATTTTGACTGGAGTCCATCTACAACAGTCAATTTCGTGGTCAATTAACCTAGAGAGAATTTCCATGCATATGATAAAAATATATGGGGATAGGGGGTCCCCCTGTCTAATACCCCTAGATGGTTCAAAAAAATCAGTTCTTGATCCGTTGATAAGGATAGCCGTGGTGGTGGTAGAGATGCGGGACATTATAAGATCAACGAGGTCAGGAGGGAAGTTTAGAGAGTTAAGGGAAAATCTGACGAAAGACCATTCAATTTTATCGAAGGCTTTTTCCAGGTCTATTTTAATCATCATTTTAGACTTTTTCCCTTTAGTTTTCCTGAAGTGGTCTAGGACCTCATTTATGATTAAGGCATTATCAGCAGCCCTTCTACCTTTAATAAAGCTAGTTTGTGTAGGGTGGATGAGAGTGGGTAGGAGTGTTTTAATGCGGTTAGCAATAATCTTAGTGACGACCTTATAAGCCGTGTTACATAGGCTTATAGGTCTAAACTGCCTGATAGTTTCAGCATTTTGACATTTAGGTATTAGACAGACTAAGGTGTTATTCATACTTTTAAGTATTTTTTTTGGATATGAAAGTATCTTGACAAAAGTTTATGAGATGGTGGCTTGTCTCCTTCCAGTATTTCTGGTAGAAGAAGGGATGAAGCCCATCCGGCCCTGGAGCTTTGTAGGGTTGAAAAGAATCTATGCCCTTTTTATTTCTTCTGTAGTGGGAATACTACTAAGGTATGGATGGTCTTGGTCACTAATTTTTGAATTGTAGGAGAGGTATATATTATTAAGCCGAGATTGGTTGTGACCCGTAGTATAGAGGTTTTTGTAGTAGTTAATAATTAGGTCTTTGATGGGTTTTTGATCTTGGAGCCAATTCCCTGCTTCGTCTTTTAGACAAATAATTCTATTTTTCCTTCTTCTTTGCATGGTGGTGATGTGGAAAAATTTTGTGTTAGCGTCACCATCCTGGATCCATTGAACCCTGGATTTGAGCTTCCAGAAATCCTCCTCTTGCCTGAGTACAATATTGTACTCGTGTAAGAGTTCGTTTTCCAGATTTATGAGGAATTGACTATGGGGGTAGTTTTGTGAGGACCGAATGCCATTTAATCTAGCTAGTATTTTGCTCTTCCGTTTGAAAATGTTACCAAAAGTATTTTTATTCCATTCGATAGCCTTAGAACAGAAGTTATCTATGGCTTTAGTGATATTTGGTTGGTCAGACCAAGAGTTATTGACCAAGGCTCTAAATGTGGGGTGAGATAGCCACATAGTTTCTATTCTAAAGATATTGCTATTAGTAGGGAAACTTTTGAAAAAATCTAATTTGATTGGACAATGGTCTGAGTGGCTTCTAGTTAGATGTTTGACATTAGCTTCTTGGAATAGTTCTAACCATTCCGTGTTCGCAATGCGTCTATAAAGCCGTTCCATAATTACGTTTTTACAATTTTTGCTCTTCTTAGTCCAAGTAAACTTTGGGACCTTAAATCCCAAGTCCATAAGGCCACATTGATTCATATAATCTAGAAACTTTGAGACTCTATTATAATTTATGGGTAAGCCTCCAAATTTTTCTGAGGCACGAGTGACTTCGTTGAAGTCTCCCGCGACTAGCCATGGACCTTTATAGTTACTAGCTACTATTTTTAAATTATGCCATAGAATTGATCTTTCTTCCAAGAGATTACTAGCATAGATAATAGAACATAACCAATTTTTTTGTTGAATTTCGTACCTTTACCATGGCGTGTATCTCTTGATCCTTTCCACCAATTTGGTCGACCATTGTGTCTCCGTTGTTCCACATGAGTACAATGCCCCCTGAGTTTCTATTAGCAGGCATTTGGATGAGGCTAGAGTATCCGAAATCCTGTACCAAGATGTGGTGGTCCTCCATTTTAGTTTCTAGCAAGGCCACTATGCTAGGTCGATGATAATCTAGCATAGCTCTAAAAGCTCATCTAAATTCTGCGTTATTTGCGCCTCGACAGTTCCAAATGATCATATTCTTACTTATGTTTCTGCTTGATACTCCCCTTTCATGGCTACTGGTGGGGCTGTGGCTGCTCCTCATGCTCTCCCGTTGTGTCCAGTAGTGAGTAAACATTGTTGGGACTAACACCACTGCATGCTGGTAAAGGCTTGGGGGGTTCATTTTCCTGATGGAGATGGAGCACTTCCTCAAACCACTAGGCAACTTAAGATGAACCTTTTTCCTTTTCTTGCTTGGAAGGCCATTGTTTTGGGGTATCTTAACACCTTGTGCTTCACTATTCTTTCTGTTGGGATTTCTTCCTCTTCTTCCTCCTCTTCCATCAAAGTTTGGCTCGGATTTTGTAGTGTTGGAGGGGCCATCTGTGCTTGGCTCGAGCTTTGAAGGGGTGAGGGTGGGACTGTTCTGGGCAGAGGGGCTAAGGGGGTGCTGCTGCTGGGTTGTGAGTTTGGCTGAGCTAGAGTAGTTTGGAAGGTAGGAGCTAGGGTTGGAGGTTTTGCATGGGACGGGTATATTGGAAGGTTAGGGTTGGACATGCTGTACGTGGGTTGTTGGGGCCATGCATGGGAGCTCCATGGAGATGGGTGTGGACCTAGATTCATTTGCATAGGGTGGAACTGTTGGGGACTCATCCATGGGCGAATCATGGCATTGTTTAGGCCCAGTTGCATCCCTTCCGCTACAATCTGTGCTAGGTAGGATGGATCCCCTATTTGGACTATAAGATCCCTCCCCTCTAGTTGTAGGCTTTTGTTCAAAGCATGGCCCATAAGACCCCATTCCAACCAAGATTGGGGAGCATGGTCTGGTTGTATGGGCCTTGTAGTGAAGATCAGAGGGGTTTGGGGTTGGTTTGTGAGTTGTGGCCTCATCCAAACATTCCTTCGTGGCCTTGGGTACCTCCTGTTGTGGTTGTTTGATGGTAGCTTGGTATCTTGTGATTTGTTTTTTCTTTGGATTGAGTCTTTTAGAGTAAGTGAATCGTTACTAGTGAGTAAGTATCTATTTGAATCTGTTACTTTAGTAGTAGGGCCATTATGTGTTGAAAAGGTTATGTCCATCCTAGGAGTCAAGATGTCTTGTTCATTAATGGGATTATGACTTGGGGTTGACAAGGAATGATGTTGATTTGTACTATGGTTGTGTTGTAAGGGGCTGATGGATTGCAAAGGTGAAATGGAGGTGTTAGTTTGTGGGCTACTAAGGTTTTGCATTAAAGAGGAGGATTGGCTATTTGTAAGTATAGTAGGATCTATATCCATTAATTGCTTTTTGTTGTTTTCCTCCGCTGGTACTACTGCTAAAGGGCTATCTTGGGTTTTTGGTTGGGAGGAGTTATTGCCCAAGGGTGTATATGAGTTAAGGGGTGAGTTAATGGGGGAGGGTTGTTCTAGGTTGGTTATAGCAAGGTCCTTTGTGTAAAGGCTAGAACTTGGTTTGTCTTTGTGATGTTGATATCTTAGGTCTTTATAAAAGGTACTGTCCTTTTGTTGGCTTTGGTTTGTAGGGGAACGGGGGGAAATAGTAGAAATCTCACCTAAGGGCTGAGTATTGTCCATCGGGTTTTGGTTTCCCTTATTAGTTGGTGATAGCTTCTGGGCATTTGCAACATCAGCTTTTTGCCATTGTTCTGTACTTTGGATAGGCTTTTTTGTAGTCAATCCTTTAGAGTACTCTAGGTCTTTTCTAGGGTTTAAAATATGTGGATTGTTTTGATACTTTTTGTTTTTCTTTTGGTGGGAAACAATTGTCCATTGGTCAATCTTTTGTGTGATAGCCTCCACCGTGTTTGGCTTGGGCAGGGTCTTGGATGGATTTGTTCCTTGTTGTTCCACGGATTTTGGTAAGGCCAACTACTCGGGTTATGTCCAAGCCTGCCACAATTTGTGCATAGGAGATTAAAGCCCTCGTAGGTAATTTGTTGTATATGTTTGCCGATCACAATGTAGGTTTTTAATGGTTTTTCTATGGTTACCATTACGCATAGTCGAGCATACTTACCTCTTAGCGCGGATTTGGTGCATGCATCAATGCCTATTAGTTGTCCTAGCTTTCCTCCAATTTTTTGGAGTATATCGTAGTCATAGAATTCAGTGGTTAATTCCGGGAGTCTTGCCCATATGGCTGAGTATGTTACCGCAGCTTTGGAAGCTACGAATCTGGGCTCCCATTTTTTTACTGTGAGGAATTGATTCCCTATGAACCATGGTCCTTCATGAAGGGCCTTGTTATAATTCTCCTCTTTAGCAAATCTTATTAGGTAATAGTCGCATCCTAGGTCCACCAGAGATAGGGTTTCAGTTGGTTTCCATATGGCGTGTAGCTTGTTTTGGAGAAATTGGTAACCAACTCTCCTGCCAAAAATTTTGATAATAAGAGCATTGGTCCAGTTTTTGTATATACGCTCCTTATCCGATGAGGTGATGGGAATGAAGAACTCTGGGTTAGGGTAGTTATCAGTTTCATCTTCCTGTTCGTAGGAATCCATGTTTTGTAGTACTGTAACTTGGCTACCCTCTGGTTCATTGTTTGCGATATTACATGATATCAAGGTGTCCAGGAAAGACAACCTCTTTGTAGGGTTTGTTATGTCTTTTGCTTCTGTTGCTGGTTCACCCATAGGTTTTCCTCTACTAATTTCCATGTCCATTGGTGAGGGTGTAGTGAGGGAAGGGCCTGGCGTTACCATTTGGGCTACTTGCTCATTTGTTAAAGCTTGGCTGGACATTTCTCCTGTTAAGGCATTGAGGGTCAATTCTTTTTGGTTCAAATAATTTAGGTCCTTAATGTTCATCTGGGGAGGATGAGCGAAAGAAGGTGAGGAAAAGAAGAGTTAGGGAGTTTGATGAGGGATCCTTTAGAGAGAAGGTAGAGTCTTTCTCTCTAACCCATTTTGATAAACTAGGACATGATATAACATCTGTGTGACAAACATGATTAATTTTCTTATCTATTGCACTAATGTTCAAAACAACAAACATATCTCGTTTAAAAAAATTAACAACGCACAACCTTAAAGGTTTCCTGTTTGAGTTTAACTCTAATAATCTGACACTTTTTAAATACGTATTAAATTACCTAAAAAATAATTAAAAAAAATTGTCATAAAAAGTGAATTACCGACCTGTAAAATAAGGTAAGCTACCTCAAATAATAGGTTAAAGTAAAAACTCTTTAGACCGTAATTTATAACTTTAGTAAATCCTTCCTATTTTATACCTTACGGCCGAAATAAATGAGAACACATTGATATTGCAATTTTAAAAATAGGTAAATCGTTATTTTAACTCTTCAATCATAGGAAGCAATAAATTTTCTCTCTATGATAAATAAAGACGAGATATTCCAAGTCCCTTTACCCATTTAGTCCGTTCGCTGTTTCACGGAGCTAGAAACCGAAGAAGAAACATCCTACTAGTCTGTTTCGTCAAGTTTCTTTTGAGGCAAACGTACTTTTTTTTTGTCAAAAGTGTTTTTTTTCTAAAATTAATGTGTTTGGCCAAGCTTTTAAAAAGAAAAAAATGCTTTTGAGGAGAAGCAAATGTTGTTTTGGAGTAGCTTCTCTCCAAAAGCTTTTTTCAACAAAGCACTTTTGAGAAAAATACACTTAAAAATAGTTTTTTAAAGTTTTCCCAAATACTAATTGCTGCTCAAAAGTGCTTTTCAAATTAATTGGTCAAACACAAACTGCTTCTCACCAAAAGTGCTTTTGAGAAAAGTATTTTTAAAAAAAAATACTTCTCAAAATAAATTATTTTTTGCAGCTTGGCCAAACCGGGTAAAAGCTTTGACACAATGTGCCAATGGCAAAGTTTGAAAGTCAACAGTCAATACATGGAAACGTATTACATTGTTTTTTTAATGCAATATGGACCCATGTGCAAGTTTTCCACACGGTCTAAGCTTGACTTGTGAAGTCTACGCTCGTTTTTCATACACAAAGCCGCCAGCCATTTTCCTTCATAAAGATATCAAACACTTCGAAAAATTATCCACCATCCACCCACCAGGCTGGTTTCTCTCCTCCCTCCGGTCTGCCGGAAAAACAAGAACCTCAATGGCCTTTACTGCTTCACAAATCCACTTCTTTTTCTTCTCCCTTTTCGCCTTTTTACTTATTGCTGTTCAAGCAAGACTGAATCTTAATCCACCAGATCATGCTGCACTTTTGCTTGTCCAAAAAGACTTGGGCATCCAAGGTCAACGCATTGCACTACTTTGCAACTCTGCAACAATATCCTGCGAAAGACGAAAGGCAAACAGAACACAATTGTTGAGAGTCACCCGTATTGACTTCAGATCCAATGGATTGACTGGAACTTTATCTCCTGCCATTGGAAAACTTTCTGAGCTCAAAGAGCTCTCTCTTCCAAACAACCAACTCTTTGACCAAATCCCAGTTCAGATTCTTGACTGCCGTAAACTGGAGATCCTTGACCTTGGAAACAATCTGTTTTCTGGGAAAGTTCCATCTGAACTATCATCTCTACTCCGCCTTCGAATTCTTGATCTTTCATCAAATGAGTTTTCTGGGAATCTTAACTTCTTGAAGTATTTTCCCAATTTAGAAAAACTCTCTTTAGCTGATAACATGTTCGCTGGAAAAATACCCCCTTCTGTGAAATCTTTCAGAAATCTGCGTTTCCTTAATATTTCAGGAAACAGTTTTCTTGAAGGTCCTTTGCCTGTTATGAGTCAAGTTGAGCACTTGTCAGCAGATTTGGATCAGAACAACTTCGTTCCAAAACGTTACATTCTTGCTGAAAATTCAACAAGGCCAAATCAGATATCAGCAGTGGCACCTAATTCCAATTCAGGAAATGCCCTGGCTCCAGCATCGAGTCATAATGTCACTCCAATCCATAAACGTAATAACAAGAAGAAAAGGAAAGTCAGAGCGTGGTTTCTTGGTTTCTTTGCTGGTTCTTTCGCAGGGGCTATATCTGCAGTACTCTTATCAGTTCTCTTTAAGCTGGTAATGTTTTTCGTCCGAAAGGGAAAGACTGATGGAAGTTTAACAATATACAGTCCACTGATTAAGAAAGCCGAGGATTTGGCCTTCTTAGAGAAAGAAGATGGAGTAGCATCACTTGAAATGGTTGGAAAAGGTGGATGTGGAGAAGTTTATAGAGCTGAGTTACCGGGAAGTAATGGGAAGATTATAGCTATAAAGAAGATTATACAACCCCCAATTGGTGCTGCAGAACTCACCGAGGAAGATACCAAGGATTTGAACAAGAAAATGCGACAGGTAAAATCAGAAATTCAAATTCTTGGTCAAATCAGACACAGGAATCTGCTTCCCCTACTGGCACATATGCCTAGGCCAGACTGCCATTACTTGGTATATGAATATATGAAAAATGGGAGCTTACAAGATATCCTCCAGCAAGTCACAGAAGGGACAAGGGAATTAGATTGGTTGGGACGACACCGAATTGCAGTAGGGATAGCTGCTGGACTGGAGTATCTCCATATAAACCACAGTCAATGCATAATTCACAGAGATCTAAAGCCAGCAAATGTCCTTCTTGACGATGATATGGAAGCTCGAATTGCTGATTTTGGACTTGCAAAGGCACTTCCAGATGCCCATACACATATTACGACTTCAAATGTTGCAGGAACTGTGGGATATATTGCACCGGAATACCATCAGACACTAAAGTTTACAGATAAGTGTGATATATACAGCTTTGGTGTGGTGTTAGCAGTGCTGGTTATAGGAAAGCTTCCATCAGATGAATTTTTCCAGCACACGCCTGAGATGAGTTTAGTGAAGTGGCTGAGAAATGTAATGACTTCTGAGGATCCGAAAAGGGCAATTGATCAAAAGCTGATAGGAAATGGATTTGAGGAGCAAATGCTTTTGGTTCTCAAGATAGCTTGCTTTTGTACTCTGGAAAATCCAAAGGAGAGGCCTAACAGTAAGGATGTTAGGTGTATGTTAACTCAGATCAAGCATTAGGGATATTGCATAATGAATAAGTTGGTTTATGTAACTAAGAATGTGTTCCATGGAGACTTTGCAAGTTAAGTTTTTGTTGTGATTGGTTTATACAAAGTAAATCAAATCTCTGTACTAAAGTAGTCTTAATGGTATTCTTTCCACTTTTCTGCTGAAGTTACTAAATAATATGGAACCCATAAAAAACAGGTAATCAGAAATGCTTAATACAGACTCTCCCCTATGCCATCACACAACAAATTCTGAAAACATCTAAACTTTACAGCAGCAATCAGCTTTTATTTCTCTCGTGTCATTGATCAAATGATTCACTCTTTCAACACCCATGCTTGTTTATAGTGCAGCAACAAATGATTCACTCTTTCAACAGAACATTCACACAGACTAAAGCCCTCTCCTGAGTTAGACAAGCATCATATGCAGCAACACATCCAAAGCAAGCAACTTTTGTTGGAGCTCGAGTTTTCCACAATAACTACCAAGGCCAGATTTTCTCATATTCATTTGACTGCTTTTGTAACCTATCATAGCAAGACTTCACAGTAAGACACCCCTTTTTATTAACACGCCAGATTTGAATATCCTCCTTTCTATCTTCGGATTTTATTTCCTGTCATACCATGAAAGTGTGGGAGAGGGTGGTTGAAGTGAGGGTGAGGATGACAGTGTCTGTATCAAACAACCAATTCGGGTTCATGCCGGGTCGTTCTACAACAAAAGCTATACACCTTGTTAGGAGGTTGGTGGAGCTGTACAGAGAGAGGAAGAAGGACCTGCACATGGTGTTTATTGACCTAGAGAAAGCGTATGATAAGGTTCCTAGAGAAGTTCTCTGGAGATGCTTGGAGGCAAAAGGTATGTCGGTTCCCTACATTATGGCAATTAAAGACATGTATGATGGGGATAAGACTCGGGTTAGGACAGTAGGAGGCGACTCTGAGCATTTTTCGATTGTAATGGGGTTACACCAAGGTTCTCCGCTCAATCTGTTCTTATTCGCCCTAGTGATGGACACGTTAACATACCATATTCAAGGGGAGGTGCCATGGTGCATGCATATGCTATTCGCTGATGACAAAGTTTTGATTGATGTGTCGCGAGTCGGTGTTAACGAGAGGCAGGGAGTTTGGAGACAGACTTTTGAGTCTAAGGGTTTCAAGCTGAGTAGGACGAAGACGGAATACCTGGAGTGTAAGTTCAGCATTGGGCCGGGGGAAGTGGGTGTGGACGTGAGGCTTGAATCACAGGTCATCCCAAGTAGAGGCAGCTTCAAGTACCTTGGGTCAGTTATCTAGGGGGAGGGGAGATCGACTAGGATGTCACACATCGTATTGGGGTAGGATGGATGAAGTGGAGGTTAGCATCTGGAGTCTTGTATGAGAAGAGAGTGCCACCGATACTCAAAGGTAAATTCTATAAAGCGGTGGTTAGACCGGCCATGATGTATGGGGCTGTGTGTTGGCCTGTTAAGAACTCTCATATTTAAAAGATGAAAGTAGCAGAAATAAGGATGTTGAGGTGGATGTGTGGGCACACTAGGATGGATAAGATTAGGAATGATGATATTCGGGAGAAGGTGCACGTGGCTCCCATTGATGACAAGATGCGGGAAGCGAGGCTCGGATGGTTTGGTCATGTTCAGAGGAGAAGCCCAGATGCTCCGGTAAGGAGGTGTGAGCGGCTGGTTGCGGAGGGCATGAGAAGAGGTAGAGGGCGGCCTAAGAAGTATTGGGGAGAGATGATCAGGCAGGATTTGGCGAGGCTTCAAATTTTCGAGGACTTGACACTTGATAGAAAGATGTGGAAATCGAGTATTAGGGTTGTAGGTTAGGAGGTAGTTGAGTCTTGCCTTACTTTGTACCTTTGTGAGACTGGTCTGGTAGGATTTTTGTCTAAGATACCTAGCGGTAATATTGTGCCTTACTATTTCGCTTTTCAGTGTAGGACCTATTTACTAGCTATCGCTTTTGCTTTACATCTTTATTCTGGATTTCATGTTGTTCATATTTTTCCTATGATTTTTGCAGTGATACTAATATTGTCTTCTTTTGTCTTTTTGCTTTCTTGAGACGAGGGTCTTTCGAAAATAGCCTCTCTATTCCTTCGGAGTAGGGGTAAGATCTGCGTACAAACTATCCTCCCCTGACCCCACTAATGAGATTTTACTGGGTTGTTGTTGTTGTTGTTTGTATAAAGCCACAACTTCATCCAACTCTAAGTCATTAAAGCCTCATCTTTGCTGGAAGTTCCACCCACCTTCAGTGAAATAATCAGCCATCAGACTTGATTTAACACCAAGTTATAGACATTAGGAAATTGGTCCTTAGGCCGCCACTCATCAGACCACCTGTCCTTCAACAATCTGATTATTCTGCAATTACCTACCTTCAACTTAATATTACTCTTAAATTCACAGGTAATTAATTTTCTTCCACATAACCACCCCATAAGGATAGTTTACTAGCTTTGGATCCAAAAAAACTTATTTTCCATTGAGTTGTTTCTCTTTCTATCACCTGCAGAAATCAATGCACCTTCTGGGTCTGCAAATATAATTTCAACTGAAAGCAAACACTAACCCGATTGAGAAGTTCAAGAATAAGATCAAACTTCTAGTTATTGGTGCTTTGTTAAATTGTGGATGAGAACAGTGTTCATCCATGGGAGCACTTAGAGGGAAAGCTGGAGAAGAGAAGAGAGAAATGGATTTGAGAAAATTATACTGTTACATTGCTTCAGCTACAGTAGTATACGTATATACTGTCTAACTACTTCAACAAATGACAGCTAATTTACAGCTAATAGCCACCTAACTAACTAACTATCTGCCTATTATATAACCCACGTGCACAAATATAATTCTATCTGTACTGATAATACTCCCACTTAAGCTGGAGGGTGCATTTTGTTGAGCACACCCAGCTTGCCTAACAAATGCAAGTGTCTTTGCTGTCCTAAGCCCTTAGTCAACAGTCAGCTAGTTGATCCCTGGTAGGCACATAGAATGTCTATGAGCTTGATATTCCATTGCCTAGAGGCCTGTTGGAGTCCATATAGGGACTTTCTCAACTAGCACACTTTCTTCTCCCCCTAACTTCTGAATCCCTCAGGCATTTCCATGTATACTTCTTCACAAAGATCACCTTGTAAGAAGGCATTGTTAACATTCATTTGACATAAGTTCCATCCTTTTAACACTGCTAAGGCTATCACTGATCTTAAAGTGACCATATTCACCATAGGTGAAAATGTATCATAATAATCCAGACCTTCTTGTTGGCTATACCCTTTGGTTACTAGCCTTGCCTTAAACCTTTCAACTTCACCATTAGCATGATACTTGATTTTATATACCCATTTAGATCCCACTACATGTTTCCCTTGAGGTAGCAGTACTACTTCCCAAGTGTGATTATCCTCTAGAGCTTTGATCTCTTGCTTCATGGCCTCTATCCATCTTTCATCTTTTGCTGCTTGCTTGAAAGATTGAGGTTCCACTAGATTGGAGAACTTAGCCAAATAGGACTGATTCTGAGTAGTAGTATTATTGTTGGATATTAGTTGGCTATGGGATATTTGCTGGTATTCTTCCCAGTTGATACATAGTCTTTCATCCATATTCGTTGTATACATTGTCTATTTGATTTTCTAAGTGTGGAGAGGTCTTCTGAAGCCGAGGAAGTGTCTGCTTATGCAAAATCTCTTGAATATGCATGTGAAGGTTCCCCAGCACCTAAGTTTGGCAAGTGTTCCATTGGAACATCATGAGATTCTCCATGACTGTTGGTTTCAGCAGGAGAATCAAGTGAGAGATCTTCAACTGCAGCATCAACTGTATCACTAGCATGTTGACCTACAGATAGTAATGTAGCTTCTACAACTGGTTGAGTGGGAACATAAATTGGAATGTGTGTATCAGAAAATACGTTAGGTTCCTGCATAAGAAAGTCAGTAATTGAAGGAGATTCAGAAGTCCGTGAGTGTGCAAAGGGAAAAACTGACTCCTTGAACACAACATATCTGCTCACAAAGAAATATTTGGTAGACAAATTCATCAACAGATAGCCCTTCTGTGTGCTAGAATAGTCCATAAGCACACAGCCTTTGGCTCTTTCAGCAAATTTGTCACCTTTTGCAGCCACTGTTGCATAGCATAAGCAACCTATCACTCTCAAATGTATGAGAGATGTTTGTTTGCCATATAAGAGTTCAAAAGGACTCTTTCCTTGTATAGCAGTAGAAGGTAGTCTGTTCAACTGGTAGACTACAGCTTGTGCACATAGTCCCAGTATCTGATGGGTAAGTTGGCTTGAAATCTCAAGGCCCTAGCCACATCCAGTATGTGCTTATGCTTTCTTTCCACAATGTCATTATGTTGTGGAGTACGAACATAGCTGCTTTGATGTACAATTCCCAAATCCTGAAATAGCTTAGTGCACTGTGAATTGAAGAATTCAGTGGCATTATCTGATTTTATTGTTTTAACCATTAAGCCAAACTGATTTTTGATCAACAATAGGTAGTTAGTTATAGCAACTATGACTTCAGTTTTCAATTGTAATAGAAAAATCCAAGTGAATCTACTGTGATCATCCACAATGGTCAAGAAATAATATTTCTTATCAAAAGTAGGATTTCTATAGGGTCCCCAAAGATCCATATGTACAAGATGAAATGGTGTTATAGCTCTAGAGTTGCTTATAGGAAACTTCAGCCTAGTCTGTTTAGCCAAAGGGCAGACCAGACAATTATTCAGAATTGAACTATTTACATCGTAACTTAGTAAACTCATACTCTTCATAGCAGTAATAGAGGCCAGGGGTGACCTAGCCTCATATGCCATAATCTGCAGTCTTCTTTATTTGTAGTTGCCACCAGAACATGCTTCTGAAACTTATTCTTGTCATCCTAGGACCTGAAAATGTATAGACCAGCTAACTCTTTACCAATCACATTCACCCTGCCATTGCATAGATCCTGAAATATACAGAAATCCGGAAAGAAAGCCACAAAGCAGGAGAGTTCTCTGGTTATTTTTGAGACTGATAGGAGTTTGAATTTAAAGTTAGGCTCATAAAGAACATTGGATATCATCTCTCCTTTAAAAATAGATGCCTAACCAGTATAGGTTATGTCCAGTAGGCAAGCTAACATTT